GGTGGGACTGGGTGGGCTGTGAGGTCCCTTCCCACCAAACCAGTTCATGATTCTATGAAGTAATGGGAAAGCGCTGCTGCAACTTCTTCATTTTAGATATTGCCTTCCTCTGACTCATGAAAAGGATTATTTGGAAAAGTGAATTTGCTAGACCATGTTTTATTTGTGAGAACTACTTTGCAAGTTTTTAATTCCTTGCTGCATCAGCCTGTGAACATTCTGTAGGTATTCAGTCATGATTTATAAATTGGTTTTTCTTTTTGTGCTTTGTATTCGTAATACTGACCTGGAAGTTAAGAGCACAAAAATGCTTTTGAATTATAAAACTGCAAACCAAAATCTAAAGAGAAACTGTGACTCAATGTGACCTTGACCAACATTTTATCTTTTCCTCCATCTTTGTATATGGTGTTCATCAAGTTTTGGTTCTATCAATCTGGCAGCTGCCCAGTTTCTGAGAAGTCTCTTATTCTTCCCTTTTGCAAGCTGTGATGAGTAACTTTGTTTGACTTGAGCGTCAAGCTTTGCAGAAAAATGCAAGGATAATGAAGTTAGCAAGGTGTTGCTTTTTTGGAAACCTAGCTTTATTTTTTTTCAGGCCACCAGTTGTGGTGGATAAAGAACACAGATGATACGGCAAGTTTTTGCTGGGTGGGTGCCAGTTATAACGTCTAAACTGCTACTTGTATATCCGTTCTTTGCAGTCGATACTGAAGAAGACTGTGACAGTGACAGAAACTCCTTCAGCAGTTTTCCATTATAGTGCTGTGCAAGATTCCTGTAATAGCAAACATATTGATGCCATTGTCAAAGCAGCGAAGAAAGACCTTTCAACCTTGATGAAACTTGATGTAAGTTACTGCAGGAAGAAATGACTTTGGTTTTGCTTTTCAGCTCATTCCGCCAGGCACTGAAAAGTAAATTGTCTCCCTGGTACACTGTAGACTAGCTGAATGTTTTATTCTCTAGTCTGTTGAAGTTATTAGCAGGACTGAAATAAATCTGAATTGTTCTGCCATTTGAAAAGCCCATACTGAAATGCACTGCATGAATCTTTTCTCACTGTGTACAGATTTATCCATGTAAGAAGTAAACGTGCAATTTCTGCCGCCTTGTAATTTCGTGCTCTCGCATGCTGTGTGAAGAAGTTATGTAAATGCACTCAGGTGACTGCTGAAACTATTAATCCCGTTGGCATAGCATCCGAGTGCCTCGTTTGGTTTTTGGAATTGAAGCTCTGTATTTGGCCAATGCCTACGAGGGCATTTCACAGCTGAGCGACTGCGCCGTGCCCGTTCCAAGTTAAATGCCTGGTGCCTTCGCAGTTGTGTTGCTGACCTCAGCCCCTCTTATCGCCTTAGCGTTGTAAGGAGTGAAAATGTTTGTTTTCATTGTTTGTATGATTCCAGCCGCATTTCATTACAGCAACGTGTCTCTTCATGCAGTTAATCAGACAATCTGGGAAAATGGTACATCTAAGTCATTCACAGATACCCCAGTTTTCTTACAGCGTGGATTTCAATAACTCGAGTCTGGTGATGCTGCCAGAGTACTGGCTGTTCGTCTGCAGGAGGCTTAACTATGGTGTTACGTTAACTTTCAGGTTTTTCAGGCATTTATATCCTCATGAAAGGCTACAGACTGTTTTAGGAGAAATTCTTGTTACAGATAAAGTAGGACTAGCTACTTTCATCTTTTCAGCCTTCTGTTCTGGGTAGGACTGGCCTCAGCTGCTGCTTGTGACAAAAATTTGTACCCGATATACAAGTGAGGTCTTCCTTTTTAGACCTATTGGATCATGAGCAAAAATTCCAAGATCACCGAAACTACCAATTACGGTATTTATTTTATTTGAATCTAGAATAAATTTCTCAGTAATTAACAAGCAAACAGCTTAGAGTTGAAGTTAATTGGAACAGTATCCTTAAAACGCAGCATCTAATAGGCAGTGGTTTTAACATGAAGATCTAAATAATAATGAAATAAGATAGGCTTTTCAAACTTTGATATTATAGCAACTCCGCTTTTCACAAGCAAATAAGAATCCAATGGAGTGTAGCCCGATGCTAGAAGTCTCATTTAAAGGTCAGTGTTAATTTTTTCTACACAGGATAGCAAAAGTTGATTCTTCTACAGGCAATGGAAGAAAAATCTTACTGTGTTTAAAATATTTGTTCTCAATACTGCTTACATCAAGGAAGAAAACAAATTCTGTAAGCTCTTCTCTTAAAAAATTAGCTCAGATCTTTCATTTCTTAGCTGGCTGGAGGCATTTTAAGATGTCATTTTTCAGAGCAGCCAATCAGTGTGAATAAAATCAAGGTGTTTTGATGACAGATGGTGTTGGTTTGTTGTTTGGTTATTGGTTTTTTTCATGAGACTGTAAGAGAGAGAGAGAGAGAGGAGGGGATAATTTACTCAGAACCAGTATTAGCTTAAATGACCCTTAGGTATCTGGTTTCAGAATTAAGATTTTCTTGTTTTTTCTTTTGTTTTAAATAACTTGAAAGCCTTGGGTCTCTGTAATGAATGGTTTTCAATCTAATACAATTTCTACGTGTTTTCAAGTTTATCTGCAGTTTTCATATGAGAGTTAAACAACGTTGCAGGGCGTATCTTCTGCAGGGGTTATAGGTAATTGAGTCGCTTCCTTTGACAAAAAAAAAGTATTTGTCCCAGTTAATTACCATTTTTGTTTATTTTTTTTATAAGTGGTTTGTGCTTTCACTTCTGCATCATAAACCTCTGCTCATTTATTATAGAATCGCAAAGAAAGAAACTTGTTGTGAAATGGATTTTGCTGTGCTGGCGACTTCTTTTCCTAAAAGCTGGTGGCTGGAGGGGATCAGTGCAGTTATTTAGCTCAAACCCTGTAACTCTGCAGTGCTGCATTTGCATTTTCTGGTCTTGCCCATTTGAGAGAGAAGATATGAGACAGGCTGGATCTTGTCTGTCATCTTGTTTTTCAACTCCTTTGTTGCTTAATCAGGGTAGTAATAGCACAGAAAAAGAGAATTTCAAGGACTGCTTGGAGGTTGTTCAGTCTCTTTTCATGCCCAAGGCAGAGTCAAATATTGCGAAGTCATTTCTGGCAGCTTTTTGTCTAAGCTGTTCTTAAAGATCTCCAATGATGAGAACTTCACAGCTTTGTGTGCAATCTATTCCAATACTAAAGTAGTCTTGGACGTGAAGAAAATCTTTGCAACAATTTTTTGTTGGAGCTAACGCAGCCAAAAAAAGCCGTTGATAAGTAGAGCTCGTTAGGGAGATTGTATTCCCTTGCCGTGAGATACTTTCTTAGTTAAAACTTTGTCTTTAAGTATAGGTAATACTATACGACCATAAATGTATAAATATAGAAAAAAAATCATAGAAATTAGTTGAGTTGATGTTGCTGAACTGAAATATTTTGACAGGTGCTTGTCAGGTTCTTTGCATTGGATGTGTTCCCATGAAACAGATTGGTTTCAATAAAACTATTTTTTGATGAAAATCTGTTCCTTTTATCAGCTGTAGGTGTAGAGAATAATTCTGATTATTTCATTTGCTCCATTTTTTTTCAACGGAAAATGAAGAGAAAAACCTGGCGGAACAATTAAAATGATAAAATGTTTACATCTCTGCTGTGTTGTTTTCCTGCTGCAATAAGGTTAATGACTACGGGCAGATTCTGTGATGCTGCTTGTGCTGGAGCGTGCGTGCAGCTCTCTTGCTTTTAGTGGTTCTACCTCTGTGGCAAAGCACGGGACACAGAAGTGTCCGGCTTTCCCTTGCAGAGGTTAAGCTGCCAGGCACCGGGACTGCACGGTTGCTCTTTAGCATAAAGCAAGAATCAGGTAGCGGAGCCTATGTTTTTGCCCTTGCCCATTCGGATGATGATAATAAGACGTTGAGCTTTTGAAAATTTGCTTCTTTGGGTGAAAGTTTTGCTGAAGCAAAGGTGGCCTAAACCGTTAGGGTTTGATAGTGACTGCACGTGGGCCAACAGATTGTACGAGCAGTTCTTTGAGGTGAAAGGAAATTCTCTCCGTGCCTGGTGGTTGTGGGGATTACGATGGGGCCAGCTTTGGAGCTGGGAAGGAATCTTCTGATCGGCTGGTGCACGTAACCAGATCAGCTCCTTCCCACTGCAAGGCTTTGGGGTTGACCCCAAACCGAGGGCAGACTTTTGGAAAGACCCTCCCGTGCGCTCCTCAGTCGGGAGGAAAATTCCCACTCTCCTGTGCAATCCATGTGTGCACGCACACAAGAATTCATTACTTGAGGAAGCTTTTGGTCTACAGCGTGTAGGAAAACCTGCTACGCATGCACAGCACAGCTGAGCTGTGTGACCAGGGAAGGGCTGTGACAAAGCACGTGTTAGATCACCTCGTCCAGTTCCTGCATGATGTAGATAGTCTCCTCTGGTTTCACCTTCCCTTGAAAATAACTTCATATTTCATGATTTTCATGCCAGCTGATATAGGTCTCTTTTTGTTATAGACCCTTAAAAGTGTCTGGGACAAAATTCACAAATATAAAATCCTTAAGAATCAAAGTCTGATCATTTGAAATCAATTACACCTTTTTTTTTTTCTGCTGGAAGAAACATCTGTTGGGTAGAGAAATAAAAAAATAATGCACCACATTTTAAAGAGATTCAAGTACTTATAACATTGTCTTTAGTAATTATTCCTCCTACTTGCTTTATTTGGATGCTTCCTCACATTCTTGGATCTTCGCACGTGCACAGATGAGTAAATTGTACCCCCTGCCCCTTTCTTCCCCAGGATCCTTCGTTGTTGAATGGCAAAGTGACGCTGCATCAGGTTACTGCCGGGACTGTGCTATCGAGGCAAGGCGATCAGGTGAGTGAGCGTCATCTCAGAGTAGAGGGAATGTAGGTCTGGCTCAGCCTTTCCCCCACCGTAAGGTATTTATACACATTGATGATAAGTAAAAAAATCCTGCTCCCAAACCTCCTCTTCTCGAGGTGAAACAGTCCCAACTCTCAGCTTTTCTGTGCAAATGGGGTGTAGTCAGAGCAGAAATTTGGTACCTGTTTGTTTTCAGCTTGTTTTTTTGTATGGAGTGTCATACCTCTGTCCTCCCTGAGGACGTACGGAGATTGGGCAGCCCTTTTTCATGCCCCGCACTGCGGGCTTTCCATGATGTCACTCTGTTGCAGTAAAGCATTATTTCCCCCCTATACAACAGAAATCCAATTTTATTTGTTTGTAGCAAAGTGTGTTTAGGATATAATGAGATTCATTTATAATAATACTGTGCAAATAGACAAGCTTATGCACGGCAGATGAGGGGCAGCTCCAATTACAGTGCTGCTGTACTCTGCTCTGCTGAACTGCGATGTCCCTCATCATGCTGCTGTGATTACCCCGTCATTTCCATTCTCAATTCTGTTGTTATTTCTTGAGATCTTACAGATGCAGCCTTCGTTTTTCACAACCATACGGAGAGAAACACATTTTTCAATATTGTGGCTGCTTAGTTTTAAATATTCATAACCTGCTTTTAATAATTCACTATTGTGTCTTATTTTATCACCTAATTGTTCAAAAACTATAGGGAGCTTTCTGGAAAACAGATTGGTCGTGATAGTACTGTCACTGTGATAATTGCTTTTAAAATCTTTGGGGATTTTATTGAGCTCTTTTTCCATTTTCTCCAGGATGTTAATGTTTGCTTTGTGGTCTCGGGGATGCTTCACGTGTACCAACGGAAAATAGACTCGGAGGAGGACACCTGTCTGTTCATCACCCATCCAGGAGAACTCGTAGGCCAGCTCGCTGTCCTGACTGGGGAACCACTGATTTTCACCATCAAGGCCAATCGAGACTGCAGCTTCCTCTCTATTTCCAAGTCCCATTTCTATGAGTGAGTTCTGCCATCAAAACATACATTGATCTTTATTTTTTTAATTTTGTATTCCTTTATGGCCCTTTTAAACAAACAGGAGCGGTGGATGTACGTGTGGCATGGTACTGCTACAATACGTCCCGTAGCAAACCAGATAGCTTACGTGAGGGTTTTAAATGCCCAGATGAGCTCTGACCCATCTATCAGATGGCTTTATCTCCAGCAAGACGTAACGCGGGGAACGTGGTAATATTAAATGGCGATATCTCTTTTGTTCCAGGTTTATAGAGCGCTTAACCCAACGGGGTGTGATTTATGACCTAAGACTCATATACTTTATAATCCAAATAAGAAGGTCTGGCCAGAGCCTGTGCTTTGCTGGGTTGAGTACTTCTTTGCCAGGCCCTTTCTCTTAGATTCATTATTCCCTTTTGCTGGAGACCCGCCCCAGTTCTGTTTCCAAACACAGCCCAGGCTGTGGGGTGTGGTATGAATGATTGGCCTTGGTGTGACTGGAGGCTTTCAGTGCAGTAGGTGAAAGAACAGTGTCCCTGTGCTAGACAGGTTCTTTTCTGGACCTTGGAAGTAGTACGTGACTTGTGGCTTAATGCCTAAAGGGGGATGTAGGTATTTCTGAATTACAAAACACACCCCCAAACCCAATATGATGACTGCAGTTAGCCTCATTGTCCAATATTAATGATCAATGCTCTTGATTTATTCCATGATCCATTTGTTAAGGCTTACTATTAGTTCACACACATAATTTGTGTCAAATACCCCTATCTCCTTTTCTAATCTCCTTTTTCGACTTCTGCTTGAATATGCCATCAGGCCTGTGTTGTGTAGGACTTGTTGAGGTTGTGTTGTGTATTTCTTTGTCCCTTGTACTTTCAAAATAATTCTAATTGTTTCTATTCCTAATCAACTCTACTGCAGAATCTTATTCTGTGATTTTTGTCTTTTCATTTCAGGCAAAAGACTGTGTGCTATAAAACCAAATGTGCTGTTCTCAGCAGTGGCGTGGTTGATTAGTTGTGTTTTTCCAGGTCTGTGCAGTGGATGTCAACTCTTTGACCTAATTTCTGATAGATGCTCCCCACTTGTGCCATTCTAAGCGCTAGCTGATCTATTTCTTCTAAACTCCTGCCTTTTCTTTATTTCTTTTTCTACTGTTGTTTTCTCACTTGTTTTTTACTTCAAATTTCGTTTTGTTGTCTCAGCACGCCAGTCAGATTCTACTTTATACTCCTTTTTTTCAGTTTTGATGTTTAGTCCTGGATGGACTCATTTGCTTGAGCTCGTTTTCCTGAGCTTTCTATCTCGAGAATCGAGTCGTCTCTTGTTTATTCCACCTTACTTTTTGGCTTTCATTAACTCCTTCCCAGCCAGTGATCTCAAACCCATCCTGTATCACATCTGCATCATTTCTGGGACCTTTGCAAATCTTTCTTTTTCTCCTTTAAAAAGTCTGTTGCCAGTTCTCTGCATTTTACGATCTCTGTGATCTTCCAGCGTTCCATCTTCACCATTTCTCCTGAAACTCAAGTTTTATATCACTTGTAACTCCTGTTCCCATATTTAAAAGTGTCATTGTAGAAAGTCTTTGAAAAGCATGCGGTTTCTTCGAGTTTGTTCATTTTTGCTTTGAACTCTATGAGAAAAAAAAACTTGTTGATAAAATTAGAAGCAAGTTTTATTTTGCACTAGTTGTGCCAGATTCTGTGCTCACAGTCCTACAATGTTTGGCTTTTTCCTTCGCTTGGAATCTCCCAGGAATGATATTTTTTTAAACTTTTTTTTCTGTTGGCTCTTAATCTTTCTTACTGACCAGAAGAAATTTGACAAGAACCTCCATTATTCTCCAAAATTCCTTTCTTGTCAAATATATTACTCTTTTTCTCTGAGCTGCCCTGGAACATTGAATGTGTGTTTTTCTCAATAATTAAGGAGAGGATGAAGCAGAAGGAACACGGTCATTAGTTGCCATTAGGCTAAGAGCACAGTGATGGAAGCAGCCCAGGGTTTAGAATTGCACGTTGCATGTTGGACAACAGGTTAAATCCTTTTCACAGAAACTCTGGGGCAGGAGCCTTTTACGTGGCACTAAATAGCTATCTGCAAATGTAGAGTTTAAGTATAGGGGTGACACAAGCTAATTATATAGTATATACCTTAAATGCTTTGCTATTTTGCCGAACTGATGTACTAAGTGTGCAGTGCCTACGCTGCAACTGTTGGTGTCTCCTGACGAACAGTGTAATCAAGTTGTCAGCAGACGCGCTTGAGGGAATATGTTCAGGTTCTGCAGTACCAGGGACTCTGTCACATTTTCTGCTTCAGTAAATTTCACAGTTTAGAGTCTTAATCATGTGCGCTTGCCAGATTAGCAGGAGTGCTTTGATTTTTATTTTGTATCGCCAGCCAAGCTGAATATCAAATTGCATCCACATTCACAAGGATATCCACATAAGTCCCAGGTTTTTGCAGACAGCAGTTTAGCCTTTTCATCACTATATTTGGTGAGCTTTCTAATAAAGAATCCTGAGGATTCCTTCAGGAGCAGGTTTCTATTGTACAGAGCTTTGATTTTTAATTTTCCCAGTGTCAGGCATGTGCAAAGCAGAAGAGCAAAGTTGAAAATGCCCAGGTGAAAGGAAGGAAGGAAACTTG